GCGCTCCTGCCCTTTCTATTCATAATCCACATTAAGTCTCTGGGAAGGTATTCTGAATTTATACTAATGTTACCCAATAAGATTCTTTTGTTCCCAACATTAGGAAAATTGGCCTTCACTGGAGAAGAAAATATTAATATATTATTAGGCCTAGAAGCACAGAGCATGTCTCTATTTAATGAGCCAGTGCCAGTTTCCCGACTAGTTACCTTCTTGTCTCAATCATGGAGACATTCCAGTCATCAGTTTTCAAAATCTGCTGCACATCAGAATCATTCGATGCCTTTTAAAACCCCCAGATTTGGTAGGTGGGGCCTGAGAGTTTGCATTTCTAACAAGTTCCCAGATGAGGCTGATGCTGGTGATCTAGGGACCACTCTTTGAGGACTACTGTCCTAAATATCCTGAAATATCAGTAGTATTTAAGTAGACATTTGCTGATTTCCTCAATGACTTACAACTTGGCCTTTAGTTCAGGACCCAAATGGGCTGGGTTTAAGGAAGATGGTGTTGTCCAAGAAAGTTAGTAACGCCATGAATTTTTAGAAGTGATTGCCACGTCTGGGTTTTGTTGTCATGAGTCTGGCCGGCTGTTTTGGAGTTGGCTGTTTCTAAAGGATGGCGTGTGTTACCATGGCAATATTCTTCCCCATGCAGGAAGGCCCCAGAGGTCGGTCCTGTGTGATTGACCATGTGTTTTCTTCATGGCTTTTCCCATGGGGTGCTTGAAGGGCTCCATGCCATCACTCTTGCTTGGTGTTCCAAGGAAACTGGGCATAGTCAGGAAGCTCCAGGTCCCCTCTTTATCCAGCCTGTCAACAAAGCGAACCTCCTTTGTCAATCCAGGGTCCGGTGTGTTTAGGGCAAGAATCAGTTAAGCTCTCTTGGGTACAAAGCAGAAGTGGTTGGCAGGGGCATCCCAAGGCTATGGGGAGGGTGCTTTCTGCTCCCTTAATTAGCAGCTCTTGCCTTGTAGAGCTGTGTCTGGATTCTCAGCTCGGGAAGGCATGCCTCTCCTACAGCATTTAGCATGAAGGTTATTACCTCTGTGGATGCAGGGTATGGTAGAGATGTCTGTGGCACGTGACTACCATGGGATTTCTTTGTTCTCCTGCCAGAGTTCTCCTTGAAGGCCACACAGCTGTCCTGGTGTTCTTCCCTTAGGGTGTAGCACACATGGTGTCCAGGTGGCCACAGCTCAGCAGAGGACAGTTCAAGGTGTGGTTCTGCAGACCTCGTGTGGGTTGAATTCTGGTTGTTACAGGCCATCTCTTTTCCTGTGTACGTCTCTGCAGTTGAGATAGATGATCACAGGACCCAGATTTGAATGCCAAGGGAGATTGCAATCAATTTTTAAATGGGGAGCTACTACAAATGCTCCCTGGAAGAGTTTCCCTGGGATAATTTTATGGTCACATTGGGCCAGGTGCAAAGCTGTTGGTTAGTTGTGTCTGCCTAACAGTGGAGGTGGGAGGCTGGGACAGACACAGACCAAGCACTGAACAGTGTTTCGCCATGTAAAAATGGTTGGTTAGTTACACCTTGACATTAGGAAAGCTTATTCTAGGATTGGGTAAGAGCCTTAGCATGTTATTTAGGAATTACATAGGACTATGCATCTCTTCATGTGATGGGTATCACCTTGGGGGGACCCGTTCTGTAACATAAATGGATCAGGGGGACTGGAGATAAGAGCAGATTCCTAACCATAAAATGTTCCAACTCGGTGGGTCTAAAGGGAAGAGGTGAACATTTACAAGCCTGTATGTGGCAGGTGCCTGACGTACATTCTTACATAACCCTCGGAACATCCAACTAGGACTTTTTTTTAAAGATTTTATTGGGGAATTGGGGGAGGGGAACAGCATTGGGGAATTGGGGGAAGGGGAACAGACAAGTTGCTGTCCTTTTGTCCTTCAGTCCAGTTGTGGAGGATGTCGCTTCACTGGCCCATGTTGGTGTTGTGATCATTGCACTCTTCCTGGGTGAGCATTCACTCGCTGGCCATTGGACAGCGACTCACGGCAGCTCACGAAAGCTCACACCCGCTGCCCGCCAGCCCCAGTGCAGCCTACGCCATCGCCGATGACTCGCGTCAGCCCAGCTCCAGGTTGAGCTGTAGTTCACCATCTTAGCTGTAGAGAGCGCAGCATCACTGGCCCTCATGTGGGATCCGAACCAGGGCCCTGCTGCTCAGAGCTAGAGTCCCAAGCCAGCTCTTAACCAGCGCACCACTTGGCCGGCCCCCAACTAGGATATTTGAGGCTCATTTCACAGCTGAAGAAACTGAGTTTCAAGAGGTCAAAAAGTGACCTGCCCAAAGTCACCAAGCTGATGAGGAGCACTTTTCATGTCACCTATCTGGGGTATTGTCTTGCATCAGATTGCTTTCTTCATTCCTTCCCACAAAATTTCCCCCCCCCTTTTCCAGAAGTTTCTGTGGCCTAAAAAATTTTAGGAGCAGAGAGGTCTATTCACTTGTAAGCAGCTAAATCCATCATTATACCTCTGGATTCAGATTATCAAAATGTTGTGGAACTATCCACCCGTTATACTTTTTTAAATATATATTTTAAAAATTAAGTTTTAACAGACATGCAGAAAAGTATACATATTATTTAAGTGTTTGGAGTAATGGCTTTTTATAAACTGAACACCCTGTATAACCACCACCCTGATCAAGAAACAGAAACCCAGTTATATTTTCATTCTTAAGGTTCTTTTATTTGTTTTTGTCAACACGAACCTCTGGTTAGAAGTATCTTATGACCTGTCGTAATATTTGTCCCATCCGACTCTCTCATGGCAGTATTTGAAGGTCCCCAAAGTGCTGGGGAGTTACAAGTCAGCTAATGAATGAGTTAGTCACCAATAAGCCCTGTTTACAAATGGCCCAGGATTTCAGATACCCCCAAGGAAGAGGTAACAATAACTTCTGAGAAGAGTTTAAATGCAGAAGAATCATAGAATTTTGCAGCTCATCTCGTAAGTGAAGCCCAGGGAGGTTGAAGAGGTTGCCCACAGTCTCACAACAAGGATGAAGGACCAGCAGGCAGCCTCTCTCTCCCCCCCCCCCCCCAAGATGCATGCTACCTGAGAAGTCCCCATTGAAATGGATCCTGACCAGGAAGGAAGCCACTGGCAAGAGGGCCTGTTCAGAGCCAGTGAGGTCACCACCCATGGTCACCACTCACGAATGCTGCCCACTAGCTATCTGGGGATGACAGCTGTCCTGTCATCCCCAGCTGCTCTCGAGTGGGTCATTGGCAAATAGACAACCCTGTTTGCCCATCATGGCACATTGGGGAAATTCCTGGATAAAATCGAACCCTGTCTGTGGCCTGAATGGGTTGTGGGTCAGGACTGCATTCAGCACGGCCTCTAGTCTCCTTGGACTACAAAGACCGAGCTCCTAAGCCAGCTCTGCCGTGTACCAGCTACCACACCACAGGCAGGTCCTGACCCTAACAACCTCCCAGGTTTCTTTGAACGTTCAGCCCTATCATAGCTAGGGGACACTTGGCAAATGGCAAAGCACTTCTTAATGACAACATTTATCCAGCAGCTCCTATGGGCTGGGCTTGGTGCTAAGTGCTGCACATATATCTCATGAATTCCTCTTCGTAGCTCATGGGAAAGGCGCTACTGTTATCCCCATTTTCCAGGTAAAGGACCTGAGGCTCAGAGAAGCAAAATAACTGCTCAGGGCCACACAGCCACTTAAATGATGGAGACTTATTCGAACTGTGGAAGAGTATGCCTGCACCACACTGCCTGGCTGCTGCTTATGACCAATCAGTCATTCGGGAGTTACTTATTGAGCCTACTATGTGTCAGGCGTTGTCCTAGGTGCTGGGGAGACAGCTGTGAGCCAGCCCGTGAAGCCTACACCCTCACAGAGCTGACGGTTCTTGAGCAGGATCCTTTGGGGAACAATTATCTTGGAGATTTGTGTTTCAGGCATTTTTAGAGAAAAGCCTACCTCCTTTTTCCCAAATCCTCCCTTCTTTGCTTCCTCTTTGAAGCTCCCCAGAGCCCTCCAAGCCTCCCTTTAGAGAGATGATGGCTGAGAGCTGGGTGAACCTGAGTCTGTGTGTAGCCCTTGCCCTATGAATAAGGAACTCCGCAGTGTGTTCCCTTAAGGACTCTGCCCCATCCTTGCATCCCCCACCTCACACCCTGCAGTTTTCCACCCCCACCCTCCTAGCTGTACTAGTGGGAGAAGGCAGGTGTCTGCCCAGCAGCAGTTTGCCACTGAAGAACCCCATCCTGGCACACCTTCTCGGGGCCAGCTGACAGCACTCATGCCAGCCTGATAAGAAGCCGGGGCAGGAGGCCCACGGCCACCCTGCTCACAGGCCCTGCCACCTCCATGTGGCCTCATGTCTGTTATTCTCTACATCTCCACACACAAAGAGCCCTGGTGCTGTTGCTGGCGCTCAGCTGCTGGAGTGGGCAGGGCGGGCAATGGTGAAAAGCTTTTCTGAAAGGCCAGGGCGGAGGCAGGAGTCACCCAGGTGATCCAAGCCATTCCCTTGGGACCCCAGCCCAGGACCACAGTGAAAGGTTACCGCTAATTGGCGAGCTCCTGATGGGGCGCATCTATTTAGCACTCCCCCCTCCCCAGAGACTTCCAGGATGGTCTTGGCACAGTAGTGTGATTCAAGCGCTCCCCGCCTGAGTCTGGCACAATCTGTCTGAAATTGTGAACATGGAGCCTCTTGGTTTTTTAATTTGTATTTTCGTTGTTGTCGTTCTCAGCCCATTGTTTCTGGTAGATTTAGTAGCAGCAGCCACCCTGACTTTGTTACCCCCTCCCTGGGGTCCTCTCAGCGAGCTCCTTTTACCCCCAGCCCCCGGCCTCCTAGATCTACCATCAGAGGCCTTTTGGGGCCAAGAAACAGCACTGTCCCAGCCCCGACCCACCACCCGGCCTTAGGGCCCAACTCTCACCCCACCATCGTCCCTGACACTAACACAGCTTGTCCACCCTGTCGCAGGGGGCAGATGGCCTGTCGGAGCCGGAGGGCATCTCTCTGAAGCGGGTCGCTGTGGTGGAAGATTTCTTTGACATCATCTACTCGATGCATGTGGAGAGCTCAGCGGAGCCAGGCAAAGCCCCCAAGCACGCTGGGCAGAAGAAAACCTACCGAGCGGTGAGATTTCTGTCCCTTTGCCTCTGCTGGCAGCCCCAGGCCTTGGCAGGAGGCCATGGGCTCCGCACATGTTGGGCAGGGGGCGGGGCAGAGAGCTCAGGCGTGATGAAGCGGCCTTTGGGGACTCAGGGGGGCACAGGGCAAGGGCATGGCAGCTAGAGATGGCTCACGGGGCGAGGGGGCGGGTTCTGCGGTCTGAGCACAAAGGAGAAGCAGGTTGAAGGGAGTGAGAGGGAGGGGAGGAGAGGGATGAAGGCAGGAGGGAAGCCCTCTTCTCTCTGGTTTCTGCTTCACTCATCCCACCCACTCCCAGCCGCTTGCAGCCTGCTCTGGGGCCATGGGGGGCTGGGGTGGCTAGATAATGATAATCGTAAGGGCAAGTGCTCCCATGGCATTTACTGTGTGCCAGGCTTGTCCTGAGTGCTTCCTACATGTGAGTTCTTTCTATCCTCAAGCGCCCTGTGAAGCCAGGACCCGGGAGTTCCCCAGGGGAACTCTGAGGACTTGGTCCCCACCCTCCAGGAGATCACAAGTTGATTTGGGGTGGGGAGGCTGAGAGCAAAACCAAGACATGAGAAACAGAAATGTCTCCAAGACCATCTTTGAGGGAACAAGAACCCAGGTACCTGGGCATTCAGCAAAGGCACCTCCAGACACTGTGCTAAGCCGGGGGCTTCATGGAGAAGGTGACATGTAAGCCAGCATTCTCAGCTTTGGGTGGGCAGGAGGGAGCAGAGACAGCTAGATTGTTAGGGGTGGAAAACATCAAACATGGGGAGGTGGAGGGCATGGCAGCCCAAGCAGGAGGGGCCCGCCTGTGTTCAGGTCCCATCCCCTTCTTGACCCCCCTCACTATGGCTTGTGCACAGCTCTGACCTGTTTATCCAGCACGCACTACTAAACCTGGAAAGCCAAGCACTTTATGCTCATTCAAGTTCCATACCAGCCCTGGGATGGAAGCATTTTGGTCCCATTTCACAGTTAAGGAAATGGAGACCCAGAGAGTTGAGCAACTTGTCTAAGGTCACACAGCACCTGAGTAGCCGTCAGCTGGTGTCCTCATGCCTTCTTTGTGTTGACTTTCTCATTGACCTCCTAGAGACTTGCCCCTCTGTGACTGTGCTTCCCCACCCAAGGCAGGATGGGACCCCCGCACACACACACCACACGTTCTTTGTATAAATAGCCTTGGACTGCAGTGGAGTTGGCTGTATCAGTCTATAAGTCTATAATTTCTCCATATGGCCTGATTTTTAAAAAATCCAGCAATCTGGTTTGTCTTTGACCTCAGAAGATGGCCTTTGCCCTCAGGGAGTCTTAAGGATGAACCCTTGTGCCAAGGGCCTCAGTGAGATGAGGGATCGGGCTGAGGGATGCAAGAAATGATTATACGGTCTGAATACCATCTGGCCTCACCCCTCCTGCTTCTTAGTACACGTGGGAAACGACTTGTGGGAAGGGAGTTCTGAGGGTATTTCCACCAGAGAGAGTCATGGGCGAAAGGAGGGACACCCAGGCTGGGGCCGGTGTGGGCCCCTTGGGATCAGTGAGACACATTTTCTCAGCATTAAATTCACCAGTGCTGAGCAGGTAGCACGTGCCAGGCCCTGGCTCAGCACTTGCCATGCACCAACTCTCTGAGCTTTCATGCGTTTGAAGGTTGTATGTATGAAGCAGGTGCTACTGTTAGCCCCATTTTACAGATGAGGAAAACAAGGCTCAGAGAGCTGTATAACCTCCCTGAGGTCATCCGGCTGACGTGCAGAGCCCGGCCTGCGCCCTGGCCATTACACTTACTGCCTTTCTACAAACCCCCTTGGTCAGCTACTGAGGCCGGTAACTTGTTGTTGTTCAGGTAGATGGGCTTGGGCAAGCCAGACCATGTGATTTCCCTGGGCTACTCGGTGCCCAGCACCAACCCTCACCTGCAGGTACTCTCTGGATGTTTACGGGGGCCAGGGGCTGTGGCCTTCATGCTATGGAGAGGGCAGGGCTGGGCTGGTCCTGGCAGCATTTGCGTCCCTGGGCCAAGCAGACGTCCAGCCCTTTGCTCGGCACTTCCTGGCTTCTTGTCCATATGCCTGCCACGTGCCCCACTTCCCGATGCCCAGCCTGGAGCTGGCACATGACTGGCGGCGAGCCAGCTGGGCTGCGCACAGAGCTGGAATTTCAGCAGCAGGGCCAAGGCTGAGTGGAGCAGGCCAGGGCCCTCCTGCAGTGGGTGTGAGGCCAAGGGGGCCTCCGAACCCCCCTTCTCCCCTGTGTGCCTCCTCTCCCTTCCCCCCTTCCCCATCTGTCGCCCTTCTCATGCCATCCTTTTCTGGGGGTGGGGGGGGCTGTCTGGATGTTTTTGTCCCCCTCTTTTCATCTGCTCACATTTCCTGAACCCCAGCCTAGCTCCTCAGCCTCACTCAGGGGACATGAGGCCCCCACCCCATCCGTGCCTATAGAAAAAGAGCCCCCAAGGAAACTCCATGCCATTGGCTGCAGAGAGGCACAGCCTGGCACCAAAGGGTTTGCATCAGGCCCCTGGCTGAGGGGTTTGGGGACCTGTCTGTGTGTGTTTTGCCAAACCTGCATCCTGGGACTGACTGCCCTGTGGTTTCTAGGGCACCTAGGACTTTCGGGTCCTTATAAACCCAGGGCGTGTGTGGGAGGCAGAGGACTGGAAAGGAGATAGGCAGACTGGTTTAGGGCATTAAAGGAGACACATTCTTCTTTCAACAACTGTCTGTCACCTACCACTGTTCAGCAATGGGTCAGGATCAGGTACACGAGCTCTCTGAAGCTGGAAGTATTGCATGTGAGCCAGGGGTAGACGGCCATTTCCAATGGCTAATGCAGGGGGATTCCCACTTTGGGCAGGAAGCTGCTGCCTCACTTTGCCCTGGATGCAGTGTGACCTGAGGGGCAGAGGACCCCAGAGGGTCCTGCCAACGCTGAGGGGTTGGGAGGGTTCCAAGCCATTCTACCAAGTTCCCTGAACCTCAGTAGAAGACTGGTCCTTTTTCAATGGGCTTTTCTGGTGTCTGCACCCATCTGGGTTAGAACTAGTCTCTTTGCTTCCTCCCTGTCTCCCAGGGTGCTGGTAGGCTAGGTCAGGTCCCAGAGCCTGGATCTGGCCGCCCATACCGCTCTGGAGTTGGGGCCAGATGTGGTCAGCAGCTGCTCCAGGCCCACCATGTGCTAATCCACCCACAGGGCAGAAGGAGGATCTTGTAAAGTGGTGCAAATCCCCCCAATTGGCCTCATCTGTCTTTGTCAGCCTTTAAGTTGGGGAGCAAAATGGGGCCTTACAAGTCAACGGCTCTGCAAATAGCTTCTGCTCTCCCTGCCAGCAAAATCCATCTCAGTTTTTACCACTAGAAAAAACGTAAGAGGCAAATTCACATATGGGGTCTCAGGGTCCCAGGCAGGAGGCCCTGAGGAGAGCCAGGCAGCAGGCAGCCCCGAGCAGCTGAGGGATGCCGGGTGCAGACGGGTCCTGCAGCTTCCCCCTCCTTAAGCACAGCAGCTCTGTCGTTATCTGTTTCATGTTTTGGGCTTCAGCATGAGTCTATTTCCAGAGTAGTGCCTGTAGCTCTAAAACTATCTGAAAACCACCATCCTAGTGACTGAAGCATCCTCTGGGATTGTCCTCCTCATTTCAACTCATCTTGTGGTCCTGTGGCCTTGGGCATCCAGGCAGTCAAACAGAAATGGAGGCTGTGTTTCTCAAGTGGACAAGCCAGGAGGGTGAACCAAAAGACGCCCGCAGAAGGTTGCAGGCCCCAGTGGGGAGAGACATCCTCTTCCATGCAGGTCCCTCCAACAGCACAGAGCTGGGCAGGACTCCATTCTACTGACTTCCCAGGGAGCTCTTAGCAAGGCTGCAGACGTGCCAGCTGTGCAGGGCAGGGCTTTCTTCCCTGGCCATCAGACGGCTCCAAGAGCTACTCACCTACCTGCCATTGGTCCACCCTGTGCCTGTCCCCTTGTGAGACACAAGGCTCAAAGGGGGCACACCCAGCACTCCCCCTGCATGTGGTGCTCTAGCTAGCCTTTGCATACTGCTGGGTCTCTGTGACGCCAGGGGACCTGTGGCCACCATTCCAGCCCTTGGTCAGAGCCCTCTCTGGGAACCGTTCTGTGTCCTCAGCAGGCCAGGTGGCAAGAAAGGGCTCTGCCTGTGCTGCGGGCGGCAGGAAGGCCCTCCCTGAGCACTGTAAAAATGGTTCCTCTGACCAGTGGCAGGTGAGCTCCATGCAGTAAAGTAGGGCTGGCCCTATGATATGAATCTCCCCTCATTTTCCCAGCAGACTTCCACCCTCCTCCCCAAGTCCTCTGCTCAGTTCCTCTGAGGCCTGGCCTAGAATGCTGTACCTCAAGGCACCTACGAGGTCTTCTGTTGGCCCAAGTCAGCCACCCTGCCCTCTTGTCCGTTTACTCCTGCAGCCATCAGCCCTTCAGCAGGGCCTATCCCTCCCAACCCCACAGGCCCGAGAGGTACATGCCTTCCCTAAGACTTCAGGCAGTTCTGGGCTGGGACGAAGATGTCCATGTGGGTGGCAGGAACGCCCCCATCCCTGGACCCTAACATCCAAGGAGGACAGGTGCGCTGTCACCCTCCCACCCAGCTGACTGTCTCCCTCCCACCCACCGGCTCCAATCAGAGACCAGGGTTTTGCCCTTGTCCCTGACCTCCAGTGGAAGGCAATCAGGGAATTTGGAAGGGAGATAACTCATCAAGGAGCTTGCCTGCTCCGCAGAGCATCAAATCAGCTGAGAAATAACAATTGTGTCACCAAAATTAACTCAGTGTTTATAGCCAGCTGCCAGGCAGGAGTGGCCCCTGGAGCTCCAAAGGCCCACTGAGTTGGGAGCACAGCCTGAGCTGGTCTTCTGAGGGCCCGGCAGCAGCCTGGGGCTCACTTGGGCCTCTTACATCCCCCACCCCACCCCATCTACTCCACCTATGCTACCGCACCTCCTGGCCACCAAAGAGATGGCGCAGGGCACTTGTGCATCCTGACGGAGCAGACCGGGTTCTGTCCTGAAGAGCAGCCCCTGCTGCCTGTGGGCTGACCAGCGTCTTCAGCCAACTTTCCCTTCTGGGCTGCGGCGAGGAGAGTGGAACGCTGGGGTGATGCTGCCCCTTAGTGGAGAGGAGCGGGAGGGCCTGGGCTCTGGGAATTGTGCAAAGACCAGCAGCTGGGGAGCTACCGTCCTCAGCCCAGGGAACCTGGGCATCAAAGGTTCCTCTGGGCCCCTCAGGCGGCCACAGCGGGGCCAGTGGGTTTCCCAAAACCCAGAGCCAGAGGAGAGGACTGGGCTTCTGGGCCCACACCCCCTTCTTCCCTACTTCCCCACCCAACCTGTTTCTTGTGTTCCCTCTGGAGGCAGGTGTGGGGTGGTATGACCTGGAGGATGGGCTTTAGTCTGGCATTGCCTCTAAAGAGCTGTGTGACCTTGGGCGAATGGGTTTACCTCTCTGTGCCTCATGACCTCACCTGGAACATGGGGGTCCCTAAGAGCCTGTCTAGTTTGAGAAATCTGATCCCTTGGCATCAGCCTGTCAGAGCTCTCCCTAAAAATGTTCTTGATCTGTGAGTTATTGCAGGAAATAGCTTGTAGAACCATAGATTCTGTTTATAGGCGCAGAGCCCGTGGATTTATTAAGCGGGTCTCAGTTTATTCATCTCTAAGAGGGGAAATTGTTTCATCTTACCCTAGAGCAATGTTTATAAGCTCATTTTTCAGTAGCAGCAATAAAATGTTCTGAGAGGAGTATTACTTATTAGAATATAAGTTAAAGACTAGACGATGTTTAAATGCTTTGCTTTTTGAATTTTTAAGCTCTTTTACTCAAATTTTTAATACAAATCGTTTTCTGCAAAAGGACTGACTCGTTTCCATGACTGGGAATCGAGGACACCTACCCCTTGCTCCTCAAATCTCTGCCCTTCCTTGGCAAGGGCCAAGTGCCTGCCACCAAAGCATAGCTCTCCGCGACCCAGTGACTAAGTGCCTCCCCACGGATCCATGTAACGAGCAACCTCCTCTCTCCCCCAGATCGCGGAGACCTACGCCTTCCTTCCACGAGAGGCCGTGACCCGCTTCCTGATGAGCTGCACGGAGTGTCAGAAGAGAATGCACTTTAATTCCAACGGCCTGGAGCCCAAAGGTAGGGGAGGACGCAGAAGCGCTGGAGGCTCACAGAGGGGGAGGCCGTGCAAGGAGAGGCTGTCACACCACAAGGGCCTGCCCTTTGCAGGCACAGGCAGAAAAGTGCACACCCAGCAATTGTCACAATTCCCAGAGGCCAGTGTGGGTTCATGGGGCCGCCCACAGAGCCTCATTTGGGGCTTTATTTTTTTAACGTACAGTTTCACTCAAAAACCAGTAGTATTATACATGCCTACTGCACTTCAAGGCCTAGGTCACATCCTCTTCTCCCATCAAGGTTGCGGATGGAAGTGGCTACCTTACCCCATTTTCTAAGCTCTATAATTCCTGCCATCCAGGTCTCACCTCGGCGGTGTCCACATGGGTTTGGTCTCACCGACCCAACTGTAAGCTCTCAGAAGACAGGAGCAGAACCCTCGCCGCGTGTACCCTCCTACCCTGTAGCCACACACCTGCCACCGGTAGGGCCTCCCTAAGCGCTTGTTCCCTCCCTGTCCACACCCAGGAAATCTAGGGGAATGGGTTAGAGTATAAAATGCCGCCCCAGAGCACTTGTGACCAGCCGCGGTTGGTTCCTGGGACCAACATCCATGCTTTTCCAGCTCTCCCCTGCCCAGTGAGATGCAGCAAGGACCCTCACTTCAGTGTCCCCACACCCCTAACCTGAAAGTCCCCAGGGGCCGCTAGTAAACCTCAGGCCTGTCTATTCCCAGGTGGCTTTGGCACAATATGATGGGCCAGCACATTTGGCTGGTGTGGTATAACTCTGCCCTGAGAAATGGTGCCCAGGTGGGCGATTTATTAGGGCTGCTCGGCTGCTCCTGGGCACCAAGCCTGCAAAGGTTGCTGAAGTCCGTGGGTGTTGGCCTGAGGATGGGAATAGACTTGGTAGGAAGGGCCAGCTGTTTACTCGGGTGGAATCCTCCAAATCTAGGGAAGAGCAAAGCAACAATGAAGCCCAAGTAGGTAGGTGACCACAGAGGAACTGGAGCACAGGCGTCAAGTGGGGTTTCCCTCTCATGTTGGTTGTTCCTCATGCACGTGAGCAACTTCCGACACCAGCCAGCTCATCAGATCCAAAGGCTTTCCTGCCCATGAGGGCCATAAGGCCATGGCTGCTTCATTGGGTACATCAGGTAGCTTCTAAAGCTTGAGGCACGGAAACAAATCTAGTTAATCCCTAATAAGTGCTGGGTTCCAGCTTTAAGATCAGGGGCTCCAGGGCCACACGGAATGGGCTCAAATTCCAGCTCTGCTGCTCCGTAGCTGTCCTGAACCAGTGACTTCATCTCTCTGAGCCTCAGTTTCCTCATCTGAGAAATGGGGTTAATAATGGTACCCACCTCAGAGGCTGAGATTCAAGAGTTAATCCCTGTACCTGGCACAAGGCTACCATGCAGGAGGAGTGAGCTGTAGCTGTTGCAGTTATTGTGACAATGCTGGATGTCGGAGTGAGGCCCCTGCCCCACATGGCCTGACCCTAGCTGACCAGCTGCCACCCCTGGGTACCTGCAGACGGGCCATGAGGGCTTTCACTGCTGCACTCCCCACCCTGCCCAGGTCTGGGCCCCAGGGGTGCATGCCTTGGTGGCAGCTGCCTGGTCTCTGTCCACCCATCTGCCTGTCCCCTCCTGTTCTGTCCTAATCGTTTCCATAGCAACTGGAGGAGTCAGCTACAGAGCCCATTTGCCTGGGGGAACGGAGGCGAGGCCAAGAGGGGCCTGCATCTGTGGGCTGTTCTGGGGTGTCTGCAGGCTCCCTCTCCACTGCTCCCTTGCTCCCTGCTGGTGTGGAGGGCACTCTCACCTCCCCCACTCCTCAGAGAAGGCTGTGAGGTCTCCTGGGCTGTAGCTCCACTCCTCATCTGTGGGCTTCCACATGGTTGGAAGGGTGATGCCAGCACAGCAGCAGCCTGTTTCTTCTTCATGCTGCTACCATGGTGCCCCCACCCCAGGGTAGAAGGAAGGAGGGAGGTGGAGAGTGAGAAAGCACACAGCCAGGAAGGGGCGGCCTAGAATACAAACCAGCTCTGTGAGCTCTGGTCTGGAGCCTCTCTTTCCAGGGGCTTGCCCCAGCAAGGACAGAGGGGAGGTGGAGTGCTGTGCTGTGCTGTGCCCATCCTTGGGTGGAATGCCCCTTCTCCCCCCCAGGAGGAGAGCTTCCCACGCAGAGAGAGGACGAGATACCAAGGGAGCGGGAGAGAGCATGGCCCATGGGAGGGCATGGGCTTGGGGTCAGGCAGGTCGGGGTGTGCCACCCTTTTCCATGCTGTGTGTCCCTCAGCAGGTTAGGGAACCTCTCTGAACCTCGCCTGCTCATACCAGCCTAGGAGCCTATGAGGTGTCCGTCCTGGTTTACACTGAGGAAACGAGGCACAGAGAGGTATTGTGGAGAAACCACTGGTCCAAGGTCCCCAGAAGGCAGGAGGACTTATCTTCTCATCAGCAAAGTGGGAGTAACAGCCCCCTCTCTAGGCTGTCATGAGGATGCAGTTGAATTAGACGGCCGCGTTCTATAGGGTGCCTGGTGCAGTGGGTGCCTGGGGAACATCAGCCTGTCTCCCATGTTGTTACAAATGGAGCCCAGACACAAGACTGCCAATGTCAAGGTTGCCCTGTAGGGAGACACATGGTCTGTCGCCCCAGGTGAACACCCTGGGTCCACAATCTGGACGCTGGGCAAAAGGGAAGGGTTTGGTTTCTGGAAGCTGCGAGTGGAGAGCCTTAGAGTCTGAAAGGCTTCCCTGTCTGCTTAATGGCCAGAGGCATTAGCTGCCTGGACCACACTTGCCAGCTGGCAAGTTCTCCCTTCTGCCCAACCTGAGAGCCTGGAGATTTTATAGCCTACCATGCTGGTCTCTCTGGATGCGGTCAGCTACACTGACCCCTTTCTCACAGGCACCCCTGCCATGCTAACCCTCTCTCACACCTCTCTCGCCTTCCTGCAGGGAAATCAGAACCTGCCCCTGGCCCCAGAGTCAGGTCCCTGTGTTCCTGTCCCAGGAAGGCGGGGCGGGAGGGGGACAGGGAACAGGATGGAGACTTCTCCAGGGGCTGTTGGGAGAATGCCTCGCTTCCTGGCCTCGTGTTATAAAGAAAGAAAGGAAGCAAAGCAGCCTCCCCTGCTCAGCGGTTTGTCCCATCAGAGTGTGGGGGCCCCGACAGTCCCAGACCCTCCCCCAGCACCAGGAGCACAAACAAAGGAGGCTGCTGAGGATCAGGAAGTCCAAGGATGGGAAATTCCAGGGCCTCTAGTCTCCACGCTCCTCTTCCACCGGCCCCCGATCCAGATGGAGAGGACACAATGAGAACCTGTGGGCCCTCAGACCAGCCCTGGCTTCTGGGGAGAGGGGCCTTTGGGGGCACATTTCTGTTTTCTCTGATGTGACAAAATATTATTTGCATGGCTGCAAACTGCGAGTTTGCAGTGGGCAATTCCAGTTACCAACCGAAGGGCCCCTTCTTCAGCGACAGAGTCCTCCACTCAAGTGGACGCTGCTTTGCAACCAGGCCCAGACTCCTCTGTGTGGTTTCCACCCCCCTCATGCCTAGCTCCTCCAGATACCCTCCTTCCTGTCTTTCCCCTACACGGCCCCACTCCAGCCCATTCTTTTGCCCCTGCAGAAGCTCCACGCTGGCCCGCTTGCTAGCCTGTCCTCTCCCGGCTCTCCCCCTCACTTGCTGGGTGACATGGGGAGATTGCATAGGCTCTCCATGCGCTGTTGCCTCCTCTGTAAAAGGGAATATTGATACCAGCACACACCTTATGGAGTTCTTGGGAGCATCAAGCATGAGTGTCTGCAAGGAGCTCCTGGCGAGTGCTAAGTAGCTGTCAGCTGAGTGATTGAACATAAGTCCGGCTCAGATTCTCTCTCCACAAAGCTGCCTTGAACTCTTCTTCCTCGGAGCTCTAATGGACTTGCCATCAATCCCACCCTGCTGAGCCCAGGGACTGCACCTACGGGGCTCCCCCACCTTCCCCACCCTGAAAGCACACACATCGGGTCGGTGCTCTTTGGAGACTTGCTGATCCACTGATTTACTTCTCTCCTACAGAGGGTTTTTTTGTTGTTTTTTAAATTACCTTCTGGCTGGCCCCAGGCCTTGATCTTGTTTTCAAATCTGAGACCCACGACAGGCTGGCTCGTCTCGGGGCTCCTCTGTACCAGGCCTTGATTGTGCACACGTCCTTCAACACCCAGTCCCACCTGGGACAGCTCATGCCACTGGCACCCAGAACCAAGGGGTCCTTCCATTCTGCAGGTGAAAGCTCAATGAGAACTACTACCTTGTGTTCCACCTGGAGGAGCGAAGGCTGCCACCTCAGTTGAGATTTGCATTGATTAATGAATGCTGTCGGAGCCCAGCTGTGGGGGTCAGCACTGGGCTCGGCCTGCGTGGCTTGGCCTGGGTAAAGACTGCATCGCTGATTATTTTCAAGGCCTGTAAAACTAGGTCTTGCACTTGGGCTGGTTTCAATTTTCCTTGGCAAAGAGGTGTTGAAACATCTCTTTGGGTAGTTCCTCTGCTTTTCTCACCAGCGACCTGTGGGATTATTTCAACTCCGTGACCCTTGCTAGCTCCTAACTCACCAATGGTATCAGGTTATTTGTGGTGGCTTAAGCATGGCCACTGCCTGTGCCGACCCCAGCAGGAGCCTGGCCTGTCTCAGCAGAGCCCCACGAAGCCACTTTTCCTCATTCATGTGTCCATCTTAGCTCATCCCCCATCCTGGCATTTGTCTCACCTGTGAGCGCCTTACGCCACGGAGCTCCTGCAGGCCTCCCTGTTCCTTCTCTCTTTCCTACTAAGCTGATGCTCTCTGTGCGGCATTTATCACCTCCAGAGCCATGGGGGCTCCCACTGCTGAAAACCCTGCTTGCCTTTCTCTTGGCTGTGCTGTGGCCGAGCTCTGACCTTCCATAGCCAGCTCCCTGGAGCAGTCCCTCCCCTGTCGTGTCCCCTGCCCGCCAAGGTCCCGTCTCCCCGACAGAACTCTAACTTCTGGAACTGCAGACATGAGCATTTTACTGCTCGCTGACCTCTGATGGATGTGTGCATATGGTTCAGGGCGTCTCCGCTTCCCCAGACGAGGGCATCCTGCCTCCTTTTCTTGAGCTGTCCTGGCTCACCTCTGGGCACCAGCAGCGGTTTCTGACCTATGGGTATGCTGGGGAGGGAACAGGGCGAGGGAGACCCCTTCTCCCACCTCCCAGGAGCACCATCCCAGCCACTGTTAGTTTTTGTTTTTTTGTTTGTTTGTTTGTTTGTTTTAAGATTTTATTGGGGGAATTGGGGAAGGGGAACAGACAAGTTGCTGTCCTTTTGTTCTTCAGTCTAGTTGTGGAGGACGCCGCTTCACTGGCCCATGTTGGTATTATGATCATTGCGCTCTCCCCGGCTGAGGCAGTCGGTCGCCAGCCATAGGACAGTCACTCATGGCGGCTCAGGGCAGCTCACAGCAGTTCTTGCCAGCTGCTGGCCGCCGGCCACTCACGCTGGCTGCTCATGGTAACTCGCGGCAGCCCACTGCAGCCCCACTGCAGCCTACGCCATCGCCGGCCACTCACGGCAGCCCAGCTCCAGGTTGAGCTGTTGTTCACCATCTTAGCTGTAGAGGGCACAGCGTCACTAGCCCATGTGGGAACCGAACTAGTGGCCCTGCTGCTCAGAGCTCACGCTCCCAAGCCAACTCTTAACCATCTGAGCCACTTGGCCAACACTGTTTTTTGGATTTTTTGTTTGTTTGTTTCCAAACCAAGCTGTACCTGGCTTTATTATAAAGACCTTCCCATAAGCAGCTATGGCATTTCAGGAGGGACAAGGGTGACCATCAGTAAAAGAACATAGGGCCCAGCCTCCATGGATGACCAAACACCGAGAGTCGCCATGACACCTGATGAAGTTGTCATTTGTGGCTCTGACTGGGGACGCTTAGGTGGGGAGGGGGGCTTCTCACGTACCATGTTGTCTAACAGTTTTTCACCAGAAAACCCCATCTTTGAGGAAATGAAATGGAAACAGCAGAACTTTCCATCTGAAGACCCATGATCTGAAAACAGAAACTACTCTCTTTTGAGTGAGACTGTCTCAGTGTCGTCACTGGAATGTCTCCCTCACACACTGCATCCAACTGTCAATTTTGGGGGGTGGCAGGGGGAGAGGCAGGTCCCAACACACCTCTGGGTTTAAGGAGGTCAAGTCTGGGTTGATGATGGGACAGCAAAGAGAAGAGATCACGAAGACCCAAGAACACAGTTTAGTTTCCCCTCAGCACCGGGTACTGTGCCAAAGGGGCCAATATGCATTTGTCTCAGAGAACCCCTCTGCCACCGAACCAAGAGGACTTGTCTAAAAAAAGAAAAAGAAAAAGCTTGGTCCATTTCAAGCCAGTCTCTGAGACATTCTGCTAGTGACATTTACCTCTTCCTCAAAGAACACAAAATTTCTGTTTGACAACATAGCTTTAGAAAGCTAAACAAACTTCTGCATTTTTATACACGGCAGTAAAAAAGATTATTTAAGCTGTGCAGTCACCAGACATGTATACCACCTCAAAACAGCACCCCTAGTTCCCAGGCCCAGTCTGTGTGGACCCTGTTTTCTGCAGGGCTATTTCTATCCTTGCCAAGTAGGAACGTCCCTTCTCCCCTCTGGATAGTTTCCTCCCCTTTGTTTGCAGAGGCCTTTTTTCCTTATTGTGGTAAAATATTTATGACATAAAACTTGCCATATTAATAATTTTTACATGTACAGTTCAGTGGCATTAGTTATAGTCACACTGTTGAGCAACCATCACCCCTATTTCCTTTTCACCATCCCAAACTGAAACTGTGTACCCATGAAGCAATAACTTCCCATCTCCACCCACCCTCATCCCTAATCAATTCTATTCTACTTTCTGTCTCTATGAATGTGTCTGTTCTAGATACGCCATCTAAGTGGAATCACACAGTATTTGTCCTTTTGTGTCTGGCGTCTTTCACTCAGCATAGTGTTTTCAAGGTTGCAGGGGCCTTTCTGGCCTGGGCTCCAGCTCTGAAGAGGCAGGGTTAGCAAATCACCTTGGATACCCTCTGCATTCCTCCACCTTGGCCCCGTCACTCAGTTCGCCTTCAGCCTATCCCTTGGGTACGCTGGTGACGGTGGAGGGCAGGCTTCAGCTAGTCCGCTAGTCCTGCTCACATACGCACGTCCCAGCCCGTGAACAGAACAGGGGGAACTTTGGATCAAAGGCCTGGAGCCCTGGAGGCAGGAGGAGGAGGAAGCCAGAGAACAGGTAACCAAGACTATTTCCCCAGGCAGAGGGGCAAGCAGGGTCAGGTGACTAAATGAGGCACCACTCAGTGTGACAGGTCCCAACAGCTGACTCCAGGGTTTCAAGCTTGGTCATAACAGGAGACATCTGAAGGGGAAGTTGGACTGGGGAGAGAAGTGACAGGCTCCCTTTTAATCATGCTCCCCATCTTCCTCGACTTATTCCTGTGCCATTTTCACCTGTCTGTGTGCCACCCACAGTGGCCCCTACGATGCAGAACCAATGGCTGGGCAGTGCCTTTGGCAACAGCTTTTGTAGAAGGCAGCTTTACTAGAGATTTCGAGAGTTACCAAACATCTCTACCCTTCGACTCATGAATTCCATTGCTGGGAAACTGTTCTAAAAATGAAATGATCAGAAATTTGAGCCAATATCCCTGCTCAAAGATGTTCCTTGCAGTGTTGTTTATAATAGCCTCCAATAGGAAACAACAGAGACAGCCAATCATAAGGGAATGACTTAAGTAAACTATGGTCAAATAGTACACGGCTATAAAAATTATATTTGTAAAGGAAAACAGGATTTTTAATGGTGGGGGAAATGCCTATGACAAAATGTTAAGCAAAAAAAAATTCTTTTTAAGCAGACTATAATTTTATGTGTTCATTATGATATCAAGGACATAAAGAAGAGAAATCACAGGGAAAAAATAAACAGAAGCATATGCCAAGCTGCTTAGTGCAATTACGGTTTTTTTTTTTAATTTTCTTTACATCTTTCCACACTTTGCACATGCTCTACAAAAAGAACATACATTACTTTGATCTTCAGGACAGCAAAGCAATAAATGGGAGGAACAATGTTCTATGTGATTAAGGAGGAACCAGAATTTGGAGGGGGAGGGTGGTACTGGAGGCAGGGCCCAGGGCTGTGAGCCATATGGTACCTGACGGTGCTTTGGGGGGCTGCTGTGGGAGTGAGAGATGGGGTGGGGGTGGTGGCATGTGTGCACCAGGAAGAGAGCTGGCTTAGCCCAGGGTTGGAAGCATAAATGCCTTCAAGGGCCTGGCATGTATCAGAGCTGAGTGAAAGTGTACGATACCATAGGGAACGGCGGGGTCCGTGGCGAAATGGAGAGCTCACAACCTGTCTAAAAGACGAGGCTGCTGCACAGCCGCAGTGGTGGTTTGCCAGGCGGGAATACGGCCCCTGTGTGACCAGACCTTCCATTTTTCAAAGAAGCCAAATACCTCTGATTTTTAAAAGTGTGAGCTCTCTGATTAAACACTACCACCTCAGTACTAGACTTATCAGAGGGTCACTTCATAAGTTATATAAATGTCTAACCGCTATGCTATATAACTGAAACTAATTTAATATTGAATGTCAAGCTATAATTGAAAAGATTATTTTAAATTTTTTTTTTTTTTAATAAACACTGGCACCTAAACGAAAAATATCTTCAGTTCCATGCGGTCCACATCTACGGGCCAGGTATGGTGGGCGAACCACCAGTTTGTGACCTTTGGGTTGCCCCTGCCTCCTCTTGTGGGTGACAGGGTGTGCTGCCCCGCCGGTGGCTCCCAGCACGGACTAAAAGGGGTTCCTTTTGTTCTTTCTGCCAGAAAACGAGCCTCCCTCTCCTCTGGTCTCCGGGATTATTGATTACAACATGCCCCTCACCTCCACGTACCTGAAGCAAATGAAGTTGCGGGTGATGAATTCCCAGGAGCAGGTAAGGCATCTGTCCCCCCTCACCCCACCTGGAGGCGTCCTAACTTGCCTGCATGTGGTTGATCCTTTCCAAGATGTGGGGCCACAGCCTGTGTAAACACACTGGAAATCAAAGAGGCCCTTATCTGGCGATCTGGGCTGTGCAGTCCAAGCTGAGAGGGGAGGGAAAGAATGTGTGCCTAGTTAGAGGGTCTGCTGGGCAGACAGACTTGCCGGGTCTTCAGTGAAACCCAGGGAGCTGTGCTTCACAAAACTTTCCCCAAGGGCAGAACAAGGGAGGGGGGCAGGGAGGCGCTGCGGGCCTTGGCTCTTGGGTGGTTCTCTCTCTGTTCTGCCCTTTGTCTGCTACGTCACTCACCTCCTTTCCCCAGGGAGATGAAAGAGGGGGGCCCTGGCCCCCAGCCTGTGGCCTCTGTCACTCTTGGGGCCCAGACAGGCCAGGAGGATGGGCCTTGGCGGGTGGCCCGGGTAAGATAAGGCCCCTGGCTGTCCAAGACTCCCCAGAGTGGATTGCCAAGGGTTGTCAGGCACCGTGGAAACAGGCTATTAAAAGAAAACCACTCTTGCCTGCCTCGCCACACAGTCCACCTTCCAGCCCTTTGCAAAGCAAGTCCCCTGACTGTCTTTCAAAGGAGGACAAATGAGTGTCACCCCCTTCCCCCGCCACTGCCTAAAACCACAGTAATAATCTCTCACCTCCAGCTTCAAGCGTTCTCATGTGTCGTGACATCTGAACTCACCGTATCTTTGTGGCCTGACCAGGGGAATGGGTTCTTTCATTGAAAGTCTGATTTCTAGCCCTGCATGCATGCTGTTTCTCTTACTGCTGGTCTCCTTGACAACCTAAGCATGTATTGTCACAGGGGTGGGGAGGGTGGATGGCTCCATGGCCAGCTCCAGGGTGATGTAGCAGGACATGTTCAGGTAGCCTCTGGCCCGTGGCACCCACTTGGAGGATTTGAGCTGATTGGCTTGAACATACCGAGCTTGCACTCCCCTAAGGAGCAGAAATGGCATACCCACCATGCCCAGCCCTAAAGGTTGAATGAAGTAAACTCTGCTCTGAGTAGTAGAGCTGTTTTCCTCTCTGTGTCTCCCACATCTTCTCCCCTGAGACTGTCTGTTCTGTGATGGTTGCATTCCTAAGAAACTTCACACAACCAGAGATAACGTCAACGGGGAAAATGGTGTTGGGGTATCGTACTCACCAAGGCCAAGTTGTTTCTGTGTAGAAATGTAAGCAGTAAGGTTGGTGATAGTTATGAAATCTTAGACACCATGAAGCAGGTTCAGTATGCGAGCTCCTTTGACTACCGTTGGAGAGGGCCCGTGGCCTTTCTTTTCCTATAGCCATCCACACTATAGCAGGCACCTGGCTTCTCACACATTCTTATCACTGTCCTTATCCTGTCACCGTGAGGATTGGGGCACAGAACCGCTTGACTAGCCGGGAGTAAAGCCCCATGGTTTACAATTGGCACTAGGTCCATACCACCCCAGAACCAGTAGTGGTCAGTGTAGCCCATGTGTGATTCCTCATTAGTGGATCCTGCTATATTGCATTTGGTTATACAAATTCTTACTGTCTGGGGGTGATTAAAACTGTTGACTAGATGCATTAGCAAGGATTCAACCATTCAGCAAATATTTATGGAACCCTACTCCATGAGCTGGGGATGAGCAATGACAACATCATTCCTGGTTCTTCTTATGATCTAGGGGAGAAACATCACACACAAATACCCAGCTCATAGCACGTAGCCATAAACAGTTGAGGGAGAGATTAATTAGCCATTACAATGCAGCAGTGACAAGTGCCATGCACTGGGACACATGGTGCTGTGAGTACTTAGATGAGGATGGTGATGAATCGAGGCAGGGATTAGGGAAGATTTGCCTCAAAAAGGGATGCTTGAGCTAAGATTAAGATCTGAAGGGAACAGAGCTCCAGGCTGAGGGAACAGCTTGTGCAAAGGCCCTGTGGCTCAAGGGAAGATAGTGCCTGTGGGAATTTGAAATGCTGGTGTGGCTGGTGCAGATACTGTGAGGAGCTCCACCGCTGAAGACAAAGGGGAAAGCACAATGTTAGGCACTGGATTGATATCTGTGAATGAACTGAAGTTCATGAAGTGAGATGGATAAATTGCCCTGGTGAGGTTCAGGCTACTCCCAAAGGAAGGGAGGATTGTGGGAAGGCTTTTGTCCCCAGGGTGCTCTGAGAGTCCAGCTGGGGCTGAGGCTGAGACTGGGATGGCCTCTGCTTACAGTAGAGTGGACTGTGTCTTGCTCGCCTTCACTGGTAGTTTCCCAGAGGGGAGCCCCCTGAAAGTAGCCGACTTTCTCCTGTGTGCTGCAGGAGATCAAAGATGCAGACGCTCCTTGCATACGTGGCAGGAGACACAGCATCCTACCTTGTGCCTAGGGCCTTTCATCTGTCAGTCTCCAGCACTCCACACACAGCAATGAGCTCTCAAGGCCTCAGCCTCTCAGGCAGCACCGTTATCCCTGTTTTATAGCCGGGCACATGGCAAAACAGAAAATCACATTGCTTACCAGATTATTTATCTGCAGCAGCAGGGAAGGGCCAAGGACCCAGAAGTCTTTGATTCTTCAGCTTTAGTTGGAACTAAAAATACATATACTTGAATTAGTGGCTTCTTTCCTGTAGCAGAGTCAGAGCAGGGCTCCCTTTGGGGTGGGCAGATTGCCATGGGACTCACTGGCCCTGTTCTGTCAAACCCCATGTCCCAAGACCAGGCTCCAAAAGTGGTGTCATTGCTTGCTTATCACTCTGACCACGAAATGTAGACACCTGTAGTGTTTGCAAATTACTCATGCAGGCTACATGGAAAATAAACCCAATCTAAAGTCACTAGGAGCCAGGATTAGTGATATTTTATTAATGCTGAACAAAGCTTTACATCTAAAATCTTTGGGTGAGAAAAGTTCCAGTAGTTCATTTTTTCCCCAGCATTAGATATCTAAGAGACAAACAGTAAGGCAAGTAGAACGTGTCCCCTCACTGCTTTGAGCAGACGATGAACAGGTGATGGTTTACTTGTGAAATAGTCAGAATCACATTGCTTGTTGTCTAGTCATGTCAGGTTAATATGCTGGGAGACGAGTCCTTCTCCATGAGGGTATTAGGTAATAAGAAAATAAGAAAATAGCAACATTAACACAAAGAAAAAAGATTCTTCTTGAGGTCTTATTCAATGTGACAAATATTTATGGTGTCCTCCATGTGTAAGACATTTGGGGTTCAGACTTTACCCTCCCAGGACCTCCATCCTAAGACTCAGACCCCAGGAGCTCTCATCGCGGTGGCCACATTGAGCTGAAAATAAGAGAGTGTAGCCTGATAAAATCTTTTTTTTTTCTTCTTCTTTCTTACTTGGGAAAACTTTCATAAAGATATAAAACTGAAATCACATTCGGTTGTACTGATGATGAATACATTTTCTCGTAGGGGGCAGGGTAGGAAGGTTTCCAAATGTGGACTAACTTGAGCATACTCTTTTAAGACAGAGGAGGTCCCAGGGAGGGGGGCTCGCCTCCCTCTTAAGAGACAGAGGCAGCCAGTCAGCGCCAACCCAGCTGCTGAGCTTTCAAAACCCCTTTCAGGACTGAGTGTAGGACACAGCAAGAGGAGTGATGGGTCTCTTCTTCACGCGGCCCCTGGTTCTGTTTTCTGTCTCATTTGGTTTTCTTTCATACTTCTTAAAATTTAATTATGCCAGTAACACACGCCCTCAGTAGAAAAATTAGTAGCCAAAAAACAAAAGCACGGTAATAAACATCACCGTCATTCCACCACTTAGATCACTGGCTATTTTGGTGTCCACCCTTGCAGACTGGTGAATAGCTTTGTTTTTCTCATGCTGATTTTCCATTTTATTCAGAGTCTCTGCCACTGGGCCTTGATGTTTCCATCTACCAAATAAGCTAGTTATATAATTTTCCTGTCATTCACTCACTGCTTCGTCCATATCCACCCGTCCATTTATCCATCCATCATCCATCCATCCATCCATCCATCCATCCTTCCATCCTTCCATTGTGCACCTGAGCCAGGTGCCAAGGAGACAGGGGTGAACAGAGCCAAGTCTCTGCCCTGCCAGCTTTCACAGTTCAGAGAGAGAGACAAGGAAAGCAAAATCAACACTGGGGTCCGTAGGAAGAGCTGAGAGGAGGAACAGAGGAGGGACACGGGAGCAAGCAGGCTGGGTGCTGTTTCAGGCAGGCGGGCTATGATTGGGGCACCTGTTCTGTGTCCGGCACTTCACACACTTTCTACCCCTTGCCCTCACAACTCTGCAGGGTCACATTATTATCTTCATTTCACAGATGCCATAGCTGAGGCTCAGAGAGAGTCAGTATTTGCTCAAGGTCACACCACCACTAGTGTGAACTGACGCTCAGATCTCTTCCATCCCCGAACCTGTGCACCTGCGGGGGCCCCAGGCCCTGCTTCCCTCCACGTGTACTGAATGAGGATGTGTGCTCATTAGGATCTGGAGCGGGTGTGCCACCCGCCTGTGAGTACGCCCACAGCGCTAGTGGAGGGAAACCGCCCTTGGCAGAGATGCTAGCAGAGCAGGCTTTGTTTGGCCTGGGAACTGGTACCACCTTAAATATACGATGCCTAAGGAAATACCGGAAGAGGAATTTGGCAGGGGACTGGGGTTGGGGATGGGGAGGTTGCCCCTACCCTGTGAGGGCTCAGTTATCTGCAGGGGCACGTATGTAATTTGATATCCACATTATGGGTGACGTTATCCTGATCTCCTGATCCTTCCAGAGATCCCAGTGTTTGAACCAAGACCTCATTGTAGAAATCAGATCCAGACCCTGACGGAGAGAGACAAATCATCTGTGTTCCTTTCCCGACACATACTTTCATTTCATGGAAGCGGAGGCTGAGACCCCGGGAGGTTCAGCGACTTTCTGGCTCGGCTCCTTTTTTGGTTCCTCCCCACACCCCCAACTCCTTGCTGTGCC